ACTCCTCCATGGTGGGTTTTTGGGGGGGATTTTTCCTGAGCTTTCCCCCCCCTGCCCTTGATGTCAGGATGCTCTGGAGCGCCACGGCTTCCTCTGAACTGCTTTGCCATTTGCCTGCGGGGAGAAAGCACATGGCTGCCTCTCTGCACAGATCAATGCCTGATGTCATGTGCAAAACCCTCTGTAACGATCCCTTCGTTAAATCGATTTGACAGCAAAGGGTAAAACAAACAGATTGCACGCTAGCAATGAGAAAATACCAACTGCTCTGCCATTAAGCAAACAGAAGTGTTGCTGCTCTGAAGAGCTTGTGCCGGAGCGCCGCGTGGCCCTCAGCTCGGCAATTACGATAATGCCTATCAGCAACATGTGGACGTGTGCTGTTATTTTCATAATTAATAATCATCTCAGCGCCTTTTAAAAAGGAAACAAAGCACTGATAACCTCGCTGTACAGATGGGAGCTCGGGCACACAGAAGAATCCACGTGCATGCACATGAGGATGGACACGGGAGGGGATGCCTGCCCCGACTCGAGGGGGTTTTCCTTTAAAAAGAAGCAAAATCATAGAATCATAGAATGGTTTGGGTTGGAAGGGACCTTAAAGATCATCCAGTTCCAACCCCCCTGCCAGCAGCAGCGACATCAGCAGGGAACGGGCTTTGGGCTCCCTTCTCTCTACCCCAATCTCCAAACACAGGACCATGCAATTAACACCTCCAACTGATGAGAATACTGCAGATAACATAAATAAGATGAAACCCCAACTGAAATTTGTAATACACATGGAGGCATAGCTGACCTTCCCAGCAAGTCACAGAGGTCTAAAACCATCTGGAGGGTTGTGTGAGAAAAAGCCATCCCATCGCGTGGAGCTTTCCTGTTTTGCACGCTCTGAAGTAACTGCAGAAGTCATCTGAACCAAATTAAGTCTCCCAGAAATTGAATCATTCTTTGATTACCAGCAGTCACCCTTTTTCATGTATTTTCTGGTAGAGGGAATCACAGTTTCTTTCCAGCTTTCCAGTCGTGCGTGCACGCGGTAATTTCCTTGATTACCGTTGGGAAAGTTCACTGACAGTTCCCCTCTTGGCTGCCCGCACCGCACCCTCACCGCTCACGTTTCCTCCGCGCCCGTAGTCGCACTATTTGCTTCTCCTTCTCCAGCTGCAGCACGGGGCTGAGCGCTGCCCCAGCACAAGGCTCTGTGAGGGCACGACCATGGGGACATTGGGGACCACTGCGTCCAGTGCTGGGGCCACCAACTGCAGAAGGACGTGGAGCTACTGGAGCCAGTGCAGAGGAGGCCACGAGGATGACGCGAGGGCTGGAGCAGCTCTGCTGTGAGGACAGGCTGAGAGTTGGGGCTGTTCAGCCTGGAGAAGAGAAGGCTCCGGGGAGACCTTCTAGTGGCCTCCCAGTACCTGAAGGGGCTCCAGGAAGGCTGGGGAGGGACTTTGGCCAAGGGCAGGGAGTGACAGAACAAGGGGTGATGGCTTGAAAGTGTCAGAGGGGAGATGGAGCTGAGATGTGAGGAAGAAATTCTTTGGTGTGAGGGTGGTGAGACAGTGTCCCAGGCTGGCCAGAGAAGCTGTGGCTGCTCCTCCCTGGAAGTGTTGAAGGCCAGGCTGGATGAGGCTTTGAGCAACGTGGTCTAGTGGAAGGTGTCCCTGCTGCCGGCAGGGGGGGTGGGGCCGGGTGGACTTTTAGGTCCCTTCCAACCCAAACCAGTCTGGGATTCTATGACCTCTGCAGGCGCACAGGAGGGCGGTGGCATCGGCACCAAGCACATGGCAGCTCCTTCAACCCTCAGCAGCTGCTCCTTCACCCCATCCTAACCAAACCCGCTGTAGGCAAACCTTGCTTGCCTTAATTTTTGTGTAGAAGAAGACGAAAATGAGGCCGGCTTTAGGA